GGGGGGACGGGGAGGGAGGTTGGGAGGGGAGGGAAAGGGGAAACAAAGGAGGAGGCTACAATGCTTGATAAGAAATGTACTCATTATCTTACCCATGTAATTGTAACCCCTCTGTACAGTATGTTCACAATAAAAAATAAATAAATTTTTTTTAAAAAAGGAAAGTTCTCAGCAGTGATAGGACATTGAAATCATACCACCAGAAGGCACTGATGTCATTTGGATTTAACTAGTAAGTATTTGCCATTCTTTTTCTTTTCTTTTTTCTTCGTGTTCATTCTGTGCACCTGTTTTCTAGTCACAGGTTTGCGTAACTACCACAATCAACTATTTCATCATCCTGGTGAAACTTATCAGGGACATATCTTTTTTTTTTTTTGGGGTCCTGTCATGGGGTCTGAACTCTGGGCCTGGGCACTGTCCCTCAGCTCTTCAGCTCAAGGCTAGCACTCTACCACTTGAGCCACAGTGCCACTTCCAGTTTTTGTTCTTTTTGCTTATGTGGTACTGAGGAATCGAACCCAGGGCCTCAGGCATGCAAGGCAAGCGCTCTACCACTGAGCCACCTTCCCAACCCTCAGGGACATATCTTTAGTTATAACTTCTCTACCTTCCGATCAACAAGGAGGCTCTTGTTGTAGGCCAGACTTCGTCTCAGTATGAGAAAACTGAGTGTGTGTGTTCAAGCCTGCAGCAAGAAGTATAAATGAGAAGATCATAGTTTAAGGCATCCTGGGCAAAAATCAAGACTGTACCTTAAAATAAGATGGTGGGGGAGGGGCTACAGGCCTGAATCAGATGAGTCAGGTAGAATACCTTCCAAGCAAGCTGGAAGCACTGTGTTTCAAACCTCTCAATAATGAAAGACACTTAAAAAAAATCTGTCTTCCAAAATGTGGCATATACATTTAGTGCAATCTTGTTCAAGATCAACATGAATGAGATTTTGATACATGCTATAATGCAGATGAGCATTTAAGACATTCTGCTAAGTGAAAAAAAGCCCAACACAGGAGTTACTACCAAATTCCATTTACATGAGGTACCTGCAAGCGTTCAATATTTAAAGACAGAAAGTGGAATCAACATGACTAGGGCACACAGGGAGGTGGGAATAGAGTTTTTGGATAACAAGAGGGAGTTTCAGTTCTGGAAATACTGCTGGAGACAGACAGTGGTGACTGCTGTCCAACAACATGAATGTTCTTCCTGAGGCTGAATTGTTCATTTTTTTCATTTTAAAAACTATCCTTTTTAAGAGTTTTGATTCAACATATCAATTTAGGAGTACAATGTATCTTGATCAATGTCACCCCTTCATCTGTCCCTCACCTATCCCAATCATATCCATCCATTGAATAATTGACACAGGGGAAAACTGTATACTATGTCTACTTTATCACCAAAAATATGTAAATGGCTATAATGCCATGTATTAAATATGAATAAAAATATTCTAAGCTAATAGGACCATGTTGCTAGGAGGCACTATTTTAGAGATAGATGATAAACAGATTTCTCTGAAACAGGAATACTGGAACACAAGAAAGAGAGAAAGAAATTAAGAAAAAAAAACAGCCAGAAATGCACTGGAGAGTTGTGTGCAGACAGACAAGAAGCTAGCTGTTAAGTGAACAGTCTAAGGCAGGAGTTGTATTCGTATGCTGATAGCAGCAGAGTTCTGTGACACCTTTGCAGGTGAAGGTGTTCTTAGGTGATTGTGTGTACTGCAGGTGGGTAGGAATATCTGTGTGTATTCATGGGTGCTTGTGTGCATTTCTATTAAGCATCAAGTTCCTCATGACTAACCAAGTGAAACTACTTATGGTCACTCAGCAGTGAAACTTGGCAACATGGATTTGACTAAAGAAGACAGTGCTGCATCACAGTAGAGAGCCATTGAGTATTATGCTGGAGGCTGGAGACTCCTGTGAAATTTTCCTGGGAAGTTGTTTATTAATCTGGGGTTGAAGGCCAGGCTCATGCTATCTCTCTCTCTTTACAATCAAAACGTGGGTTGCTGCTGAAACCAGCATCTTCCTTCACTCTGAAGCATTTCCAGAGCTCCAGGATGGTGAACTAGCATCACTGATACAGAATCTTTGCTGTACACACATCCTGTAAGTCATTTCTCCTGAATGGACTTGCATTCTGAAGCCGAGTCTTGATTGGAAACTTGAAAGAGCCTTTCTGCAGGAGGTGGGAAGGTGAATGTCTGGGGAGGGAGCTGTGTAGCAGACAGAAATCACATTCGGGGTGGCCGTTCTGCTGAGTCTGTGAAGTGGGAGAGTTTTCCTACTTGCTTGGCTGTTTGCAAAGGAGAATGGCTACCTTTGTGGTCAAAAGACATTCACAAGGGATCCAGGGGGCTGGGCAGCTAAGGCTTTCAAGGGGACAGAAGGCCTAGAAGAAAGTTTCAAGGGACAGATTTAGAAAAGCAAGAAAGAATTGTTGCGAGTAGTTTAAATGCCAGTAGTATAGGGGTTTCCGACTGTACCAACTGTACCAAATACCTGTTAGGAAGTAGAGAGGCATGTAGCACAGGACCAGAGCCATGGCAGTGAGAAACATCAGGGGGAAAAATGCTCTTCCTGGGGCAAGCCTGTTTTGCTGTGGCAAATAAAACACAGAAAGGAAGTATAGTCAAGGTCATTCTGAGCTCGTGTAGTGAGAATCAAATGACTTAATCTGCTTTTTTTTCCTTTCTGGATCGTTTTGGTTTAGCATCTGAAACTGGGCAATTGATAGTTAATTGGTACTGCAGGGAAATTATCTGTCTTTCCTATATATATATATATATATATGGCTCTTCGGGACTCATGGCTGCGGAAGTAGATGCACATAGCCTCTGAGCAGCAGCACCAGCGCCTGCGCACTAGAGACCCCTCTCAAGGGTCCCCACTGAATTCTACGTTGCTTACTTTTGTCCAAATATCAATCCTCATAATATCACAGGGAAGATTTACTTTTCTAAATACCAAGGAATAGGTCACTATGTACACATGAGCTGTGCCTGAGTTACTGGACCCAGAGCATGTTTTGTAACTACACGTTGATTGACAGAACGAGAGGACGATCTTTCTTGAGGTTCTTCACAAGGTGAGAACCATGTCCCCATTTCCATCTGCCCTTCTCCTCCTGAGCGTGATGCAAGCAACCAATCCAGAAACCATCGTCAATGAAGATGCCCAAAAGACCTGCCCTGCGATTGCCTGTTGTCCGGGTTTGAATGGCTTCCCAGGCAAAGATGGCCGTGATGGTGCGAAGGGAGAGAAAGGAGACCCAGGTATTCATTGGGCTCTTCTGTCTCGGAGACGCTTTACTTTCCAGAGGACACTCCTCTGTAATGTTTTTCCTTCTCTTTAACATATCACAACTCAAAGCAGAGAGCTGGCTTGCGTTCCCTGGCTTGCCAGACTTCCACGCAGAAGTGGATTGATATGATTTGTTCTGCTTTTCCAGGGAAAGCAGCTCTCAGGGTAACGAGTCTCATGGAAAGCAGAATTCTTTCTTTTCTGGGTCATTGGAAGCAGTGGCTCAGGAAGTTTGATCAGGAGTCTATGTCCAAGTTCTTGGGGGAGGGGAGAGACAGAGAGACAGACAGAGACAGAGACAGACAAGACAGAGACAGAGACGGAAACGGAGACAGAGAAAGACTATGGACACAGATAGGAATCAGCTTCTCTTTTGCTTCCAACAGGTGAAGGCCTGAGAGGCATACAGGGCCCTCCTGGAAAAGTGGGGCCTCCAGGACCCCCAGGATTACGTGGAATATCAGGGCCCATGGGGCCAAAAGGAGACCCTGGAAAGAAAGGAGGTGAGTTGATTATCTCACAATGGGTGGGGATGAAGTCACTCTGGGTTCAGGAATCCAGACTGTCTCCTAGGAGGTTACCTTTTTCCTAGTGCTTTATGAGAAGAGGCTTAACTCTGCCTTCTGTTACAGACTCCTGAGCTCACTGTGGTTATCTAGAGGCTCAAGAAATTCCTGCCAAGGTCTTCATAGGGATTTACAAACCCTCTACCGGATGGGAGCCCCAGGATCTCCTTCAGCTTATTCTCAGGCTCCATGGAAAGAGCATAGTAAAACCAGGTTCTAGTGGCTCATACCCATAATCTTAGCTACTTAGAAGGTTGAGACCTGAAGAGTCCTGGTTCAACTCAAATGCAGGCAAAAAAGTCTGTGAAACTCCATCTCCAAAATAACCAGCAAAAGCCCAATTAGATAGGCCTCTCAAGTAGTAGAGTACCAGTTAAGCAAGCAAAGATGACTTAAGGCCCCAAGTTCAAACCAAGTACTGCCGAAAGAGAAAATGAAAAATAAATAAAGGAAGAATACAATGCATGTACATGTAGGCATATAATGTCTTTTTTTTAACCTCACAGCATATATATATATATATATATATATATATATATATATAGCTTAACTTCATAAAAAAGGAATCTAAAACATTGTGGTTTTAAAATGCAGCCATTTACTTAAACATAGTTCTAAGAGTTATCCAGATAAATTTTGGTTCTCCTGGGCTGAAGTGTGTGCTTCACCAATGGCCAAAGGTCTCAATCACATGTTTCACTGTTGTTTGGATATCAATTGGAGAAATGAAAGTCCATGAGTTCTGGGTCTCTTATCTGACAGGCTCCTCAGGGCTTGATCCCATAGTGATTATAGAATTCCTGAGTAGAGAGCGAGCATATACACAGACATTTCTGCCATATTGAAATGGTCCTAACAAGTCAAAAATCAAGCTCACATTAAAGAGCATGAAAGAGACTCTCAATGAGAGCAGGTTAACTAGTTTAAGGGCTCTGGTCCTCTCCACTTGAACAATGGGTCAACTTACAAAAACTGTGATTGCTTTGTTTCAGAGCAGATTGGAAAAAACAACAGGCAAAGAAACCAAAACTGAAGAAGAGCGATCTTCCAAATATCTTAGTCAGTATTTACTAGCTCACATTAATACTTCCGGAGATTTATTTTTAGTGTTGGTAGTGCAATTCATTAAAGAGAAAAGAAAAACGGAAGAACTCATATACAGATTGTTACCACACTAGGAAATCAGAAGCACACGTGTGTGCATCAAGTACGTGTGAATATAAAATGTCTTGGGCGATGCCAACAGATGAAAATCGATAGAGTTTTTTTCCTTCTTTTTGATCCTCAGTATTTTTTATTTTTCTTGAAAATGTTACAAACAATGTAAAAACAAAAAAAAGCTTTTTTTATTTGAAAAATATTTCCACTCCTTTATATATATAGTTTGGGGGACCTCTTTTCATTAATGCTCCTTACTCTGTTGAATTTTCTAGAATGTGATTCCAGTGCAGTAGAATGTGATTCCAGTGCAGTTGATTCAAAAGTGACAAGTTTGCGGTCAGAATTGGAACTTATCAAAAAGTGTAAGCTTTTTCTCTTCTTCAGGTAGTATAGCATTTTGGGGAAAAATCATTGATTATATCTCATTGTCTACCTGGATAAGTAATTCTCATCTTATGTTACATTTAGAAGCATCTTGTAGAAATGGAAGCAAGTTTAAAGTACCTGTTCAAATGTGCAGACCTAACAAATGCTATAACCATACTATACATTGAAATCAGATGTGGAATCAATAGTCGAACCTTTACTCCCAGAAAATGGGACCAATTCTACTCTCTTAAGCTGGTGTCTTGAATTGGAAGTAGAATTAAACATTTCCCTCCTGGCTTGGTGTAAAATTCATACACATTTTTCTTTATTCTCAAAGTAACTATATCAGAAAATTCAATATACTTTGAAATTCTAATCCAAAAGGACCAAATACTTTATGCTGTTGTACCATTTTATTGTAGCGTTGCCAAATTTAACAAGTGAATAGAGCAGTTAAACTTGAATTCCAAGGGGAAAGGACATTTGTTTGCTTGTTTTGTTGTTGTTGTTGTTATTGAATAAATATGTCCCAAAATTTCGATATGGTTTTCCAGTATGAAAAACATCATTGTTTATCTGAAATTGAAATTGAACAGGACATAGTATACTTCAGCAACTCTATTCTGAAGGCATTTACTCAGAGGTATATCTTAGGGTAGGTTAAAAGACAAGCCATTGTCATTTACTTTTTCACATTTTAGGGCTTTACTTCTCTCTGGTGAAAAAGGTTGGGAAGAAGGTCTTCCTGAGCAGTGGTGAAAAGATGAGCTTTGACAAAGTCAAGGCCCTCTGTGCCAGCGTCCAAGCCTCTGTGGCCACTCCCAGGAATGATAAAGAAAATAGGGCCATCAGAAGTACAACCTCAGAATTGGCCTTCCTGGGCATCACAGATGAGGTGCATGAAGGCCAGTTTGTTGATATGACAGGAGCACCACTGCACTATACTAACTGGAATGAACACGAACCCAACAATGCTGACCCAGGAGAAGATTGTGTGATCCTTCTTTCAGATGGCAAATGGAATGACATCCCTTGTTCCAGATCCTATATGGCAGTCTGTGAATTCTCTGAGTGACCCTGCAGACCCACCCCCTTGTCCCTTTCTGTATCTTATAGGTGCACCATCTGCTTTGGAAGGTAATACATATTCACTTTCTCAAACACCCAGTATTGAGCTACTCTTTTGTGGAGAATTGGGGAAAATCCAAGAATGAGTTGATCTATGTATTGTGGAGGTGAGAAGTGAGAAGAGACCAAGGGCTTCAAGTCCACTGTGAATCACTACTTATACTTCTGAGCCACAGTGAGACAACAGTAGTAAAGTAATAGCAGTTGTCTTAACAGGAGGGTAATAGTACAAATAATATACTTTTAGTCTTTCCATATGCCATGACCTTTGTATCTTCCAGTGGTTGTCCAATTCAGTTAACCTACAATACTTTTGTTTGAGTGGAGTCTACTTGCCAATGAATACAAGACACTATGTTGAAAAACGAACTTTACAATTTAGGTGGGAGGTGGGGGGTAGTGTAGTTGTGGAGGTGGGAGGGAAAGGATGGTAGGGGAAAAACAAAGGAGGAGGCAACAATGCTTGATAAGAAATGTACTTATTATTACCTTGCTCATGTAACTGTAACCCCACTGTACAGTATTTTCACAATAAAAAAACTTACTTTAAAAGAAAGGAGACAAAGGACCTGAAGAAAAATGTGTTATTTTTTCACTTATTGTAGATACCTCTGCTCTGTTGTGTCCACTTCCCCAGCATGATTCTAAGGCTTTCCAAGCAATCTCAGGCATCCAGTAGGCTTCTTAGAAGTGTTTTCCTGAATTGGATTTCCTCCTTTATGAGATGCTAAGCTACAGAATTCACATCAGTTTCAACTGAACATGAATGCTCACACATGTACACACTCATGTGACCACCATTGAAATTAGGATATAAGTCATTTCTAAGTCCCTAGAATCTTCTTCAGTATTCTGCCAAGTTAATATTCCTAAGTTTTATCTCCTACATTAATTTTATCCATTGTTGGCCTTCATTGACATGGAAATGTACTATATGTACTGCCTCATGTCCAATTCTTTTTCAAAATTAAGTCTAGGAGATTTATTCAAACTGGTATTATGTATAGCTCTCATTTATCCCTTTTCATTGATATAGAGTTTCCTTATATACACCTTGGTTTCCACATTATATTAGCAGACACTTGGATGACTTATAATTTTGGGCCATGAAGAAACAACTCTCAAGAAAATTTCTGTGCTAGTATCTTTTTATGTCTTTTATTGCAAAATAGTGTACAGAGGGGCTACAGTTACATGAGTAGGTAATGAGTACATTTCCTATGGAGTGTTGTTAGCTCCTCCTTTGTTTATCCCCTAACATCCCCTCTATCCCCACATTCCCTCCCCACATCCACACCTCCTCCCTCCCCCGCCAAGTGGTAAAGTTCGTTTTCAACATAGTGTCTTGTGTTGTAATGGGTAAACCTGTATCCTTATTTCAGCAATTTGTTATCTCCCTTCCCCTCCCAAAATTAGAAAAATATATATACAAGATTCAGGGAACTGACATCAGATAGAGAGAAAACGGGGTTATACCCTGGGAGAAACACATACAAAAGATGTACTAGTATTTTGATGACATGATGCACTAAATTGCCCTAGTTATCTATCTAGAGTAATTTGTGGGTCAAGGCAAAGGTATGAATTTTGGTTCAATAGGCACTGCTCATTTTCCAAAGAAATCACATGGAACTAGCCTCCCATTGGTACCAGCCATAACTAATCGATACCCTCCTTCGCAATGTACAAATTTAGGCACCATCTTCTTAGGTTCAAAAACCAAAGGGTCACCATGAAAACATCTGTTACAATGCTAAGACTCCAGAGAACAGGGAAGCTTCTCACACCACAAAACATCATGACACACATGTAAACTTTCAAGAACCAACTTAAACACACCAATACATATACAGCACACACTCAAAAGAGAAACATAAACGAAATATATAGAACAAGTACAATCACTCACAGATACATAGAAGAACACCACTTCTAACCAAAAGCTATAACACATCCTCACTGTTCTCCAAGACTGATCTTGGAGGTGTCAATGGTCATGGTGCAAGGTGGGGCCCTGGCTTACAGCAGGCATTTGGTTGATGGTCCAGTGAAAATTGAGTGTCCCTGAAGGCTGTCACCGTCTTTCCTTGTGAAGGTAGATGGCACAGACATTTATCAATCCAATGAAAATGAATATTCACACTTAACCAGGGACTCCGATGACACTTGTGTCACTGTGTTATCTTGTACCAACAGCTGATGCTTACATGTCAACTATATTCATCTGTGACACATGAGTAGCAAGATGGCATAAAATGCATACAGTTTGCACCTACTGAGAATAAGTAATTGATTGTAGTGAGCTGAACAGTGGCCTATAAAGAAATAGCCATGCTCTAGTATCTAAATGTGTAGATATCACTTGTGGGGGGTGGGGCAGCTAGGTACTGCCTTTATTTATTGAAGGCTAATACTCCTCTGCTTTAAGTGGAGCCACAGCTCACTCTTCTGGCTTTTTGCTAATTACCTGCAGCTAAGAGTCTCACAGACTTTATGGCCAGGCTGGCTTTAGTTATTGGTGTTAGCCACCACCGCCCATCTGAACTTGTACTATATTGCTTTGAATGGCAAAATATTGGATGTACCATATATATATATATATATATATATATATACACACACACATATGTGTGTATATGACTATATATACATATACATATATACATATACATATATATATATAGTCAGCCATGGCGCCTGAACTCTGGGCCTGCACACTGTCCCTGAGCTCCTCAGCTCAAGGCTAACACTCTACCATTGAGTCACAATGCCACTTCTGGATTATGTTGTGCTGAGGAATCAAACGCAAGGCCTCAAGCATGCAAAGCAAGCACTTTACCAGCCACTGAGCCACCTTCCCAGCCCCAAATGTATCCAATATTTATATGGATATATTCTTATATGTGATATGATTAAGGACTTTTAGTTGTATGATAAGGCCCTGTCCTGACCACATTGGGCTGCTGTATAACAGTACAATCAGTTAGTTGACTAAAAAACAGGATGAATTTATTTCTCATAGCTGGATGTTCAAGATTACACTATTAGTATGATCTTAGACTGCAGATAACCTAGTTCTCTTTATGTTCTCTTTATTTATTTATTTTTGGTCATGGGGCTTGAACTCTTGGCCTGGGTGCTGTCCCTGAGCTCTTCAGCTCAGGGAGAGCACTCTACCACTTGAGTTACAGCACCACTTCCGGCTTTTTCTGGTGGTTTATTGGAAATAAGAGTCTCATAGATGTTCTTGGCCAGGCTGGCTTTGAACTGCAATCCTCAGATCTCAGCTTCCTGAGTGGCTCGGATTATAAACATGAGCCACCAGTACCCAGTCTCTTTATATTCATCCATGATAGAAAGATGACAAAATCTATCATCTGGCGTACCTTTAATGTGGACAATTTCCACACAAGAGGATTTTTACCCTCAGGTTTTATCTCCCCAAACTTTCAACTTCTAATACTATCATATTGGGGTTTCAAGTTTCAATGTATCAAAACTGGGACACAAACATTAAGTCTACTGTAGCCTCTATGTGCAATAATATACAGCTTTATATGAGTGAGTGGAGACTGAGGTTTTGAAGATATACACATAAAGGTCAAGAAGCGCTGGAGAGGAACAAGCAGTCTTTCCAATTAAGACAAAAACTGGAGAGATGCAGCTGCAGGAAAGCATTAGAAGTGATAGGAAGTTTCCTCAGGGCTGGATAAAGAAACTCCAAGATTATGAAAGATTCAAGAGCCTATTCTTTGAGGAGTCACCATGCAGTGACCACTATGACCACCAGAGATGCTGTCAGTTGAATTCTAAATCAAACTTTGGTCAGTCCTCGTTCAGAGAATGTCACACAGAGATGAATTGCCTTGAGCTCTTGAGCCCTGAAGTTGCATCCTTCTTAGAGACCCTTGACCAGCTGATTCTTTCCTGTGTCTTTCTGTCTTTGTCATAGTCCTATCTGCTGTGAGATGTAAACTCCTTAATGCTAGAGCCTTAAACACTATGTCTGCTTATGGTCATCCTTAAACTCAGGTTTGTAATAGCAGCATCCTTATCAATTTCATTCTTGAACATTCTTTCTCACTTTTAAGCCTTCGATATTTTGATTTCAATACCCTGTCTTCCAAAGGTGACTGTCTCCTGCCATTTATTAGACTAGAGGCCTCAGCTGACTTCTCTTCTCCTGTCCAGTCAGTGGTCTCTACCAGATGCCTCAGCCAAAGAATGACAGTGCTCTAGTAACTCATTATACACATGTATTATTGAAGAGGTAACTTGCAGAATAGGGGCTGTAAATACATACATGTGTACATATATATATATACACATATGTACATATGCATGTACGCACATAACTCATCCACCCACACACACACGTTGGTCCAGTTGGCAAATGTTCAACTGAAAGTTCTTGTAGGATATTAGGATATTTCTTCTTCCAATTCAGTATAGTAAAAAAAAAAAAAAGTCGATTGTTTCAGTGGCAACACAACCCCTGCTCAGTTTTCAATATACTACGGAACTGACATTTAGGCATTAACTGTGGGGATTCGAGTGGCCTGCCTCTAGGTGGTGCATGGCATTTGTGGTCAGTGTAAGTGGGAGCTGGAGCAGCCACAGAGCAGTTGATATAAATACCTTGCAAAATTAAGGATTCCCGCGCTTCCATGAGATACGGATCTAGGACATAGAAAATCAGAACTATAAAAAGAAAGGCTCAAAAGTAATTTCATTCCAAAGTAAGTAGTTTTAAAATTCAGACCTTAGTTGATACAATGTAAGACGGAAAGTGCTGATAAACTAAACATTCTAGAAATACAAAGTTATGATAACCACAGAGTTATGTGAACTCCAGCATTTAGTTTCCTTTGTTATATCAGGTTTTGGTTCATACTAGAATACTTAGTGACACACAGAAATGCAAATGCTAGCTCGATGACTTCACTT